GATTTGTCATTTTCTATGTTTTAAAGAATGTGCAATGTAAAAACAACAAAAATAGGTGAACAGATTTCTCCTCTAAAGGAAACAAGCCACCCTGTATAAAATTCTTGCATTTACTTTCTGTATTTCTTTAGGATGTTCAGAGAGACCCCAGCTGCATCGACAGGCTGAAATCTAAAGCAGCAACAGCATGTCATGCCCAGGGTGACGCATGCTGATGAGGCAGTATCTTATCCTAGCACAGGGTGCTGTCGGGGCAGTGGTTGGAGTTTTAATATACTGCATCTTTGGTGTGTGTTTGTTTCTCTCTCTCTCTTCTTTTTTTTTTTTTTTTTGTTAAAGATAAACCAACAAATCAACCTCTAACACTTGTCTCACTGCTCATTTGGGACTCTGGTAAATATTCTGGTCTTTAAAGTACGCCAAATTTTATAGAAAGCAGTATGGTTCAACTGTTGTCATTCAGGAAGGGTAGCAACACTCATGAGTGATAAAGAAATTATAGAAAAGATGTCAAGGAAGAGAGTTATAAAAGCTAGGTGCAGAAAATATGATTGAAAGTGGGGAAAATCATTTAGGGTGTTGAAAGTGTAAAACTGAAAGAAAGAAAGCCAAGCAAAGTGAGGTATTTAGGACTTGAACAGCTTAAATGTTGGTCATGATCAGTGATCTTTTTGTCTTTCATTTGATATCGAAACTAAATTTGTGGACCTTTTCTGTTAATGCACCTACGTAAAAGAATAATCATCACCTTGCCTTGTTTGAGCAGATGTCTTTCCGTTGTAATAGCTCTTGCTCCAGATATTTTGACTGTCAGTATAATAAAATTGTGCTCTCAAATTACTGTAGTAATTAGCATTGCTACTCATTTGAACGCTGTGCTTGACTAGAGCAGACAATACTGTGGGGGGGAATTCAACATTGTACATGACAATGATTATAGAGAGAACTAGGAACTGAGTTTATTTTGGAGAGAGCTTGCCTGGAAGTGCAAAAACTAAGGATTGATAGGAATAGATAAATGTTCTGAAAGAATGTAGTCTAAGAGATCGAAATACAAGTTTTACTCTTATATTGTAGAGTCCTGTCCAAGAGAGAAAAGGAGCCATCACTCCTCTGTACCACAGCTCAGCTTTTTAGGCAAGGGACAGCTGAATAAATTAATTATGCTGCCCCCTTGCATTCATTTTAGGGTAGAGAGCATGTCTGTAAGAGAATCTGAAAAAATAAATCATATGACAGTGATGATCACAGAATGGTTGAGGTTAGAAGGGACCTCTAGGGATCATCTAGTCCAACCTCCCTGCTCAAGCAGGGTCCTCTGCAGCACATTGCCCAGGGTCACGTCCAGACGGGTTTTGAATATCTCCAGGGAAGGAGACTCTGGGCAACCTGTTCCAGTGCTCAGTCTCCCTCACAGTCAAGAAGTTTTTCCTCAGGTTCAGATGGAACCTTCTGTGTTTCAGTTTGTGCCTGTTGCCTCTTGTCCTGTTGCTGGGCACCATGGAGAAGAGTTTGGCCCCATCCTCTCGACACCCCCACTTCAGATACTTGTAGACATTTATGAGATCCCCTCTCAGTCTTCTCTTCTCTCAGCCCAGCTCTCTCAGCCTTGCCTCATAGGAGAGATGCTCCAGGCCCCTCATCATCTTTGTAGCCCTCTGCTGGACTCTCTCCAGTAGCGCCACGTCTCTCTAGTACTGGGGAGGCCGGAATTGGACACAGTAGTGCAGGGGAGGCCTCCCCAGGGCTGAGTAGAGAGGCAGGACCACCTCCCTCCCCCTGCTGGCAACACTCTACCTCATGCACCCCAGGAGACCATTGGCCTTCTTGGCCACAAGGCCACGTTGCTGCCTCATGGCACTTATTGTCCACCAAGACTCCCAGGTCCTTCTCGGCAGAGCTGCTTTCCAGCAGGTCAACCCCCAACCTGTACCGGTGCCTGGGGTTATTGGCCCTGCACTTGCCTTTGTGGAGCTAGAGAGGAGGTTCCTCTCCGCCCACCTCTCCAGCCTGTCCACGTCCCTCTGAATGGCAGCACAGCTTTCTGGTGTGTCAGGCACTCCCCCCAGTTTTGTATCATCAGCAAACTTGCTGAGAGTGTGCTCTGTCCCTTCCTCCAGGTCACTGATGAACAAGTTGAACAAGACTGGACCCAGGACTGACCCCTGGGGGACACCGCTAGCCACAGGCCTCCAACTAGACTGGGGTCTGTCACTGAGGTGACATTGGCTTTCTTCCAGTCCTCAGGCACCTCCCCTGTTCTCCAGGGGGAGAACACCTTTCCAAGATGATGGAGCGTGGCCTAGCAATAACATCTGCCAGCTCCCTCAGCACTCGTGGCTGCGTCCCATCGGGGCCCGTGGATTTGTGGACGTCAGGGTTGCCCAAATGATCTCGAACCCGATCCTCCTCGACGAAGGGAAAGTCTTCCTTTCTCCAAACTTTCTCTCTTGTCCTCAGGGTCAGGAATGAGCCTTCCTCGTGGCATCCCTGCACGCTCTGACGATGTCCCTGTATTCCTCCCAAGTGGCCTGTCCCCTTTTCCACATTCTGTATGCCACTTTATTCTGTTGGAGTTTTGTCGGGCGTTCCTTGCGCCATCTCCTGCCCGCTTTGCTGGACCTCTCACTCAGAGGGATGCACCCGTCTTGAGCTTGGAGGAAGTGATGCTTGAATATTAACCAGCTCTCCTGGACCCCCCTCTTCCTTCCAGGGCCCTACCCCATGAGATGCCCCTAAGTAGGTCCCTGAAGAGGCCAAAGTTAGCTGTCCTGAAGTCCAGCGTTGCGATCCTACTCATTGCCCTGCTTCTTCCTCGCAGGATCCTGAACTCCTCCATCTCATGGTCGCTGCAGCCAAGGCTGCCCCCAACCTTCACATCTCCAACCAGACCTCCTTTGTTTGTTAGTACAAGGTCTAGCATTGCACCTCTCCTCGTTGGCGTCTCCCCCACCTGTGTCAAGAAATTATCATCAGTGCTCTGCAGGAACCTCTTTGGCTGTTTGTGCCTAGCTGTGCTCTCTTCCCAGCACATGTCAGGGTGGTTGAAGTCCCCCAGGAGAACCAGGGCCTGTGATCATGAAGCTACTTCCAGCTGTCTGTAGAAGGCGGATCACAAATACCAACATGCAGTGTGTTTTGAATGCACTTGGGAAATGATGATGTCTTACAGAATAGTTGAAAAGAAAATATTCTTGCTGTGAAGGGCTTTCTATAACATTTCAGATGGAACAAAAGAGAAGAATAACAAAACAACAAGAAAAAAGTGGTTGCAGGAGGACATGGTGACAACTGTGGGGAAAAACAAATACTTGCAAAAATGTGTGTTGTCATAGGAGACTTAAGTAATTAAAGTCTATTTTTAAAATGCTCTTCCCAGTTACTCTTAGATGTATAGAAGCATTATGCCTCAGCTTTTTTTTGTCACAAGATCATTACCTTTTAATCATTTTTATCGCTCTGTAGTTTTTGTTGGTTGTCGGTTTCCATGTAATACAATTTATTCTATTTTCGAAAAGTGATGAAGTTGTATCTGTTTCAGAACTTGAAATTTCCATTCTTCTGCATGCTTCAGCATTTTTTTTCTCTCCTGCATCAGAATCAGGAGTTGAAACTTCAAAACTTCTATTTATTTATTTATTTATTTGGTGAAATGTTTTTTTTTTCCTGAATAATTCATTTTAGAAGCCTTGAAATGACTTAGTAAAAGGCTTTTCAATTTATATTTCAACATATGCTGTCTTAGTGAAGCGACTAAGTTTCTTTCTTTATAAGCCTGAGGAAGTTGGTTTATATTCCTATAAAGCATTTGACTAGAAACTTTAATCAATTTTAATCTTTTCTTTTTGAATTTTTTTTTTTTTAAACAGGGCAGTGTAGGATGAAGTCTGTTAGTATTTCAGGCAGGCAAAGTATTCATTTTAAGTTACCATGCTATTATTACATTATTAGTTCATTGTCATAGTGCCAGGGAGCTTTTAATAGTTTACTAAGCAAGCAGACAAACAACTGTCCTTCGAAGCGGAAAGTAAGAAGTAATGGAGTCCCATGGCTACTTTAAACTGTGGACTTACAACTGTGGACAAATGAGGTGTACCTTTTATGCTGAAAGTCCAAGATTAGGATGTCTAGTAAAAAACTTGTTTAGATTCTCACGCGCATGACTTATTTTCCCCCTTCGTGTTTAGTTATTCCTCTGGTAGTTACAAACTGGGTTGGTTTTTTTATGTTCTTTTTTTACACCTTGTTGGCACTGCTGAACACGGCTCATGCATGCTTCCTGAACACCTCCTGCTCCCTTCTGGAACTCCAGGGACATCTGCTACTAAAGCATCAGTAAAACTGGCTATGCACAAATGTTGTCAAAAAGAAAAGTCAAAACAATAGAAAATGGTGTTGCTGTGAAATTTGCAGTTACAGTTATCTGGGTTGTTGCTTATAAATATAGTTTGGAATGCCACGTTGTTTTGGAAGTTCCTGCTGTCTCATTAATCCACTTTCTCTCTTCTATCTCTGGCTCCTCTAAGCCTCTAACGTACTGTCAGTATTGTCTTCTGAGCTCCAAAAATCTTGCCATTTGCTTTAACTGTGACTTTGGAGTTGATACTGAGTTCATATGTTGAGAAAAGATTGGCTTCTGTCTGCAGAAGCGTAGCCACAGCCAAACTATACGATAGTTCACATAATCAAATCCACTTATTTACTGAGAGACAGGTATTAGTTCAAGGTTTGTGTATAGCTAGTAACCTGACTCTGTGAGGAAATCCACTTACAGGCTTTGCAGAGTGACTGCCAGTAACCTCTCTTAGGTGCAGATTTCTGTAACTTCACCAACCTTTTTCTCTTTGGAGAGAAATTTAAACCCAAAGAGTAAGATCTGCAACCTATTTATTACTCATGAGGTTGTTGAGGAGAGGGGTGGGGGGGTTAAGTTTGCACTATCCTGGTATGCTTTTCCCTTTTGTAGATTTTGCTATTTATTATTTTGTTTCTCCCTTTAGTGTTTGACTACAGCTATAGAGATTACATCCTGTCCTGGTATGGGCAACTCAGCAGAGATGAAGGGCAGCTGTACCAGCTGCTATCTGAAGACTTCTGGGAGATTGCCAAGCAGCTGCGACAGAGGCTGAGTCACATTGATGTAGTTAAAGTTGTCTGCAATGATGTGGTGAAGGCTTTACTCACACACTTCTGTGATCTGAAAGGAGCCAGCATCAGGTAGAAACAAAACTCTGCTATTTGTTAGAATTTTCTGGTTGTCTCTTTGGTTTTATATATCAAAGCAATGGAGACTATAACGTTTTGATGGACAAGTGGTAAAGAAAACAGTCCAGGCTTATTACCAGTTCTAGAGGTCAAGCAGACTTAAGGGCATCTGTAAGACCTGTGGAAGGAGACACCTGCCTATCTTGTCTTAGAGCTCAAATTTGCCACTGTCTCCGTTTCATCAGAGTCTTTGGCTCACTGTAGAAGTTGGGCAGTTTGAGCAGTTCCTGCAAGTTCTGTGAACCTGCAAGAGGAAGGAGAGAAGCACTCACAGCATTCAAGAAACAAGAGCTGTTATTTGCACCTTTCCCAAAAAAGTGCACGTGTTTAATTCCATTGAATTTCCTATTTCTTCTAGCCCCAGGAAGCAAAGCCTCATGGTTTCTGTCAGTGGTCTGTTTTGCAGTAACTTGATACTTTCATTGGAAACAAGCAAACAAACAGAGAAAACCCTTATCTAGATTTTCTTTCTCCCTTAGGTTATCTGACTAATTCCATGAATTTCCTTTTTTGACAGTGCTCTCTTTTTACACTTGAAATGGTCAGCTCTCTCCCAAATACTGTAGTTGTGCCGCAACTGTAATTGCAAATGGCTACTCCTATGTCTATGCAGTTCCAATTTGAGTGTACCGTTCATGTAATTGTGCTTGGAATTCAAGCTTATGTTTGTATTTACTTGCGTTTCAGTTACACTAATCGAAGTATGCTTTGGTCATTCACATGAGGATTTTAAGCTATCAAGCTGTTTGGCTGATAGTTAGAGCCACATAGGTTTAACACTCCTTTAGAGAAAAAATGATAGCTGTTTTCTGTCTGTGACCAGTGTGTGTGTTGCCACTTGCACTTCTGCCTGTTCTGGAGCAGAAAGAAGGTAGAGTTAAGGTATTCCTGAGAGATGCCAGCTTTGTGTAATCTAAAGCATCAGAAATAAAGCTGAAAAGAACCTAAAGGGTGGTTTCATTCAAGAAAAGAACTAACAAGCAGGCTTATTGCAATAGGTCTTGCGTTGGATTCCTGATGTTGCATTGTTTCAGCTCCGGAATATGATGGATATCTCTTGGTCAGCTAAAGTTCTTAAGCATGCTCCCTGATTTGGAGTTTTTTGTTTGCACTTGTCCTTTGTCCCGAAGCAAATTCTTACTTTGGTAAAGTTTGATTTGAACAGCTTTCAAGTTAAAGGATGGGGATAATTTTTTTTTTTTTTAAAGTGTAGACATTCTTCTGTTTAAGGTCAGGGATGTAGAACATACAATGTCAGAATTATTAATTATTATTAATGTTGATTCTTGATTAGATTTGTTATCTACTGAGAGTTATGGCTACTTCCACTAGATCTTTGTTGGTTTTTTATTTGCACTGTGTGGAACTAAAGAAAATAAAATCTGGGTATTTTCCAATTAACTTTTTCCCTTGGAAATGTTAAATGCACCTTAGTTAGCGTTGAATAAGGCAGGCTGTAATAACATGGTAATGACAAATTCTTATCAGGAAGTAATGCGATAGTGGGCTTAAAAAAACGACAACAAAAAACCCTACAGGTGTAGCTGCAGATGTTGTATAGGTTAAAATTGGACCCATTGATTGGACCCATTGACTGCTCCTGCCATAGTCTAAGACTGTGGGTTCACAAGAAGGAAAGCCTGGTTTTGAGGTGCCTAGTAGCAGATCAAAGATCTTAGCAGCCATATGATAGAAAGTGTGAAGCACTAGTATATCCTCAAGCTTCTCATCCAAACTTGTTGCAAAAGTCCAGGAAGCTTTATAGAAATTGGATAGGGCTCACTTTTTCTTAGCAGACATAGTGGGCTTCATGCTATCCCATGTGATGTGGCAAGTCAGCAGAAACGTGACTGCGTGTTCATACCTGATACAGATCAGTTCATACTGCCAGGTGATCTGAACATGCATGTAATAAACTCAAAACTACAACCAAAGATTATTATACTGATTTTTATTTTTTTAAGAGAATCTGTAGTGCTAAGAATGATTTGAGTTTTGTATTTAATTAATTGCCTCCTACTGCAGTATTTGCTGTGCTAGAACCTGCTGACATGTTAAGCCATGGACTGGGAAGTACAAAGCATGTCACTTCTAGCTTGGAAGCTAGAGTTCCTTGCAAAACTTTCAATTCATATTTATATTACTATGGTTCAAACACAGAAAATTATTTTTTGTTAGCTAGGGAACATAGAGATTTCATCGATCTAATTTTGCTTTGTGTCTACGTTTTAAAAATTGTAATAAGTTTAAATTTGAATTCAGATGTTTCCCTCTCATTGTCTCTAAGAATGAACCCAGTTAGTTTTGGGTGAGGAATATTGTGGAACAGAGACTAGAATTAGAGCAAGGTATCTTGCCTGTTGTGGTGCTCCTTGCAACACTGCATCTCATTTCCACTGCTGAGTTTTATAATGCAGTGTCACAGCAAAAGGCATTTTGTCCGCTCACAAGTAGCTTATACAGTTTTAAATATCTTTTTTTCCCATTTCTGGAAAAGGTGCTACCTCAACCTCTTTATCTCAGTTCTCTTATACATCAACAGATAACGCTAGTAAAGTAATGGAAAAAAAAACATCTGTCCCCAGGAGGACAGAGAGGTTGGTTTCTGCACTGTGAAGTTCCCATTTTTGTCAGGTAATTCACTTCAGCCATAGAAATCTCTCTCTCTCTCAATCTCTCTCTCTCTCAATCTCTCTCTCTCTCAATCTCTCTCTCTCTCAATCTCTCTCTCTCTCAATCTCTCTCTCTCTCAATCTCTCTCTCTCTCAATCTCTTCTTCTCTCAATCTCTCTCTCTCTCAATCTCTCTCTCTCTCAATCTCTCTCTCTCTCAATCTCTCTCTCTCTCAATCTCTCTCTCTCTCAATCTCTCTCTCTCTCAATCTCTCTCTCTCTCAATCTCTCTACTTCTCCACCTTCACTGACTAGCTTAAGCCCTGTCTTATAGTCAGGATGCCCAAGGGGGTGAAAACAGGCTGCGACCTCTCAGAATGAGGCAGATGAGATGCCGCAGTCCCTCACCTTGCTCTTTTGCCCTGTGCCTTCACTGTCTTTATAGGTGACTGCTTTTCCTGCTCCTGCTAGACAGTTTTTGCAAAGTGAAGTGAAGGCAGGGCATCCCTTTAGTCATGGGCAGAACATCTGTGATGACACAGAGCCGTTACAGAGGTTGACAAGATGACTCAGACTTTTCTTACTTGAAACATTGGAGGGTATCTTGAGGTCCAGCTGGGGCTGAAAAGTACCCTGTCACTTTTCAGTTGTGACATTTGCAGCAATTTGGAATGTCTTAGATAGGAAACCATTTGATAATATTAGTTCAGCATAGAAATGAGATTTGATACTTTTCTTTTGTCCAGAGTTTACTGGCTTCTAGTTTTGAGATGAGGAAGAAAAATCACTCTTGCATTTATTGGTAGAAGCCATTGCTCTCCTCTCTGCTGTACTAACCAGGAGTGCATTTATAAGAGGACTAGCTAAGTGCATCCTGCAGGGTAAATTCCTGTCGCTGCAGGGAGGGTAGCATTTGATGATTCTTTTCTCATAGCTGCTTTTGTGCCTTTGTTCTCTAGTGTCTCGTTCAAGTGTTTTTCCTTGGCTACTTTAAGCAGAATATAAACAAATTGAATCCTGGCAATGCCACCTGATATTATTGAGGATGGATCATGTGCTGATCAGGGTGGTAAATAACGCTGGAAACTTTCTTTTTGGAATCTGGTTGTTGCGTCGTCTGTGGTGGCAGTGTACTTTCCGATGGGGCTAAACTTATCTGATCTGTGGAACACGTTCTTTCTCTGGGTCTGGTAATTTGCAGTATTTGTTGGAAGCAAGAGGCAGCTATTCCTCTGGATGAAATGCACAGTCCGAGTCTGAAGAACTTAGAAAAGTAAAAACAAATAGTAAATGTGTTTCTGTGAAGTGATCCCCATGGAAGGAAGTTGTTCTCTCCCACTTACTGTGGGCTGATAATAGTCACATCAGATACCAGGGCAGAACTATTAACATTTGATAAAGAGCACCCTGGGCTCTTTATCACTAACTTGCAGTGAAGGCAATCTGTAAAATGAAATTTGAAGATTGTTAGTCTTTGCCTGCTACTGAACCTACTGGAGAGCAGTGCTTCTTGAATAGGTCTCAGTGAGAAGAGGCCACAGTGATGGTATGATTTTCCTATATCTTCCGGTGGAGAGTATTCTTCTTTTTTCTTCACCTACAGCCGGTCATTTGATTCCAATGGCAGAAGAAAATTTGTTTCTGCAGCTAGAGGATATTGAGTGTGACAGGCTGCTTTTGGCAAGTTGACTGTGCCATGATATCTGATGGGATGCTCAGCCGTGTGTGTGCTTCTGCCTGAATTTGAAGCATAAGTTTTGCCTTAGCCCTTGGGAGTATAGGCTACTTTCGGTCATGATTCAGAACTCATATTTAAGCACTCTAACTCTCAGGAAGCATGAAGGGGAAATGTGGCGGAGAAACTGTTGTCTGCTGCTGATCAGTATGACAAGGAACTTAGACATTTAAGTTTATATTGTCCATGTTTTGATAATATTACCTTCATTTTCTATCTCTTCCTTCCTCTGCCTGTCAGTAATGTAACTAAATTCTTAATTCTCTTGGCTCCATATGAATACCTTTGTATGTGTAGAATATGTAACTGCTGTATTTTTGTGCTTACTCTATTTATTACAATAAGTAAGACTTTAAAAAAAAAAAAAAGTGCTGTCACCACAAAATGATCAAGGAGGAATTGGTATAAGGAATTTAGACACTTGACATTTCATTTGGTTAATCCCAAACAGGCATCCAAGTTGTCATGATAGCTACTAAACACCTCCTACTGTTCTGTTTTTCTTTTTTAATTCCATTTGCCTCCCACAAGCTAGGAATACCGAGAGCTGGTTATCACACTTGGCTTCTGGAAATGAGTATCAAGAGGGTTAGTTTGAATTTGTA